TGTTTGTATGGAAGTGTTACTAACCCTGAGATGTAGTGTTGTTCTCCAGTGCTGCATAGTGTTTTCGAAGAATGCAATGAGTGATGGATGTATTTTGTACATGTGTAGAATATGTAGCAGCCAACTGTGTGGAACACTGTCGAATGCTTTTCTGTAGTCTATATATGCCATGTGTATGTTTCTGTGTTGTTTGTGTGCTTGCCGTAGAATGACTGAATCTATGAGTAACTGTTCTTTGCATCCCCTGTGATTTCTACGGCAACCTTTTTGTTGTTCTGTAAGAATGTCGTGTTCTTCAACATGTTTGTATATTTTGTTTGTGATACAGGATGTCAATAATTTGTAGAGTGTTGGAAGACATGTAATTGGTCTGTATTGTGTGGGGTCTGTGGTGTTGTTGTTTTTAGGTTTCATGTAGGTGATGCCCTGAGTAAGAAATTTTGGCATGTCTTGTGGATTGATGATGATGTGTGTTAGATGTTTAGCTAGTTCCTGGTGCAGTGATGTAAACTTTTTGTACCAGAAATTGTGAATGTTGTCTACACCAGGTGTCTTCCAGTTGTGTGTTCTGTTAACAGCGTAGCGAATGTCGTGTACGTTTATTTCAGCACAGGGCATAGTTGGTATGTTGTGCAAGTTTCTGTTCTCCTCCTCGATCCAGCCTGCATCAGCATTGTGTGTAACAGCATTGGACCAAAGAGAAGACCAATAAGTTGTGAGTTCTTCTTCTGTTGGTGTGCCACTGTGCTGTGTATCAGTGTTTGTTTTGGTACTGATTTGTCTGTAGAAAAGTTTTTCATTGTTTGTGAATAATTTATTTTGTTGTTTTCGTAGTGTACATGTTTTGTATCGTTTGAGTCTACGTGCTTTGGCTGCGAGTTTTTGTTTTAGTGTATCGATGTATTCTGTAATGTGTGTGTTGTGATGTTCATGTTTTGTGTGTGTTTTAATTTTCTTGAAAATGTTTTTGAGTTGTTTCTTTAATTTGGGTGTTATGTTGTTTTTAGTGTATTGTGTCAGCCTGCCTAATTGCTGTCTAATGTCATTTATTTGTGTTTCTATTCTTCTCTGCCAGGCAGGCTTATGATAGAATTGTGTTTTGTGTGTGTCTGTCTGTGAGTGTATTTTCAGTCCATGGTGTGTTACTACTGTGACTGCCCCAGCATAAACTAATGTATGAATGTCTGTAAGTGTAGAAATTGAATGAATGTAGTTTGGTAGTAAGTGAGTGTTTACATAATCTAGTGTTTTTCCTACTGCCTTTGACGTGTTGATTTTTGGTATTCGTGGTCTTTGTGTGGGATCTGTACCAGTATATTTAATGAGTGTTTCCTGAAATATAAGTGAGAGCGTATTAACTAATTCTATGTCTATGTTATCAGTGATGGATGGGGAAGTGCCTGCAGTATCATTAGTGGTACTTGTTGTGTGTGTGCTGTAATCAGTGCTTGTTGCTGGATTATCCTGACAGGTTACGTGATCTTCATTAATGTTAAATGTTTCTGTCTGTTGATGTATTTGATCAGCAACCTGTTGTTTGATAAGTTCAAGTGTTGTTTGTGGGATAAGGTTGTTGTGTATAATTGTTCGTTTTTGATCAACAACCCTTTGTTCGGTGACAGTGAGGTGAGGATATTGTTGTGTGAATCTATGGTGTAGTTGTTGTCTGTATGCTGTCATGTTTGTTTCGAGTCTTGTGATGGTGTAGTAAGTGCGGATGATAAACTCGTTCATTTCTGTTGTCCATTTCATCCGTTGGCGTGGTTTTCCAGCCTTTGTGGTCTGTGGATGCATTGCCACAGAAACACCAAGGCTAGGTTGATTCCTCACATCTGTTGAGGGCATTGCAGTAGCCATGCTTGGGCCGGCGCTGCTTTCGCCACCGGTAACCAAGGGAGACTGGAGCCTATTTTTCGAACGTGAGCCTCTGCCTAACCCACGAACGCGGACCTTGTTAACCCGGGCGACGTCCGAGCCGGTATCACACTTTGATCTGGTTACTACCATGATAATTATCTCCACAGAATGTGGGTGTGTGGTCACTCTTAGCTTCATTTCTCCCCATAGACCTTACTGGCATGGGTGTCTCTACCAGGAGCTTGTGCTCCAGTCTGCATTGCTCTATGGTTCAGTAAAATTACTGGGCTCTCCCACCACGACCAGGTGGTGACCATGGGAGAGTTATTATTATTATTATTTTAATTAATTTAAATCTTAATCTTCATAATTATATATATCTTAGTTTGAATTAATAAAGATTTGGATTAGAGAAAAATGCATCATAAAAAATTTTTTGGCATATATTAACTTATTTGTGATGGTAATATTTGGAAATTTTGCATCTGTAACAAATTTTGGTAAAAAATTACTTTTGATTAACTTGTATATACATATACATATTTATAGTCTGTACTGTAAGTCTGGAATCAAAGAAACTATTTTGATCTTTGTTTATTCTTTTACAAATAAAGCACAGTACATTACATTAGGAAAAATAAATTCAAGTTTTTTGATGGTGAGGATCTGCAGTTGGCAACAGTTGTTAAAGAGTTTAACAGGCTACATTTGGAATTTGTATCGATCACTTATAGCTGTCTTGATGCAACCTGTTAAACTCTTCAGCAACTTTACATTAACTAATTGCAGTCATCATCATCAAAGTAACTTGAATTCATTCCTCCTTACTCAATTCATGATTTATCTGTAAAAGAATAAACAAAGATCAATATAACTTCTACTGTTCCAGATTTATGGGACACCCTGTATATGTGTGTATTTTATGTACAGTTGACCCCCTTATAACACTGTTGATAATTCCGTTTTATATGAATTCCATGTTATACGAGTCATTTAGATTTTACAAATACGTGAGCATTCAAAGCCCGGTACATGTATTTGTAAAATCTAGGTGACTTGTATAACATGGAATTCATATAAAACAGAATTATCAACAGTGTTATAGGGGGAGTCGACTGTATACATACACATAGCACCAGGTATGTACTGTAACTCAGTATTTTATTAATAAACTGAATCTGTATACATACACATACAGGTAAATATATACACATTCTACCCAAATTACTTTTGGGTAATTTTCATCAATTTTGTAACTCATTCTGTACTAAAGCCCAATTTTTTAAAAGTCATTCCTGGCTATACTCATATTCTTTTTGGTTATTTGGTTGAATATGGATAACCTACAGTCATAATAGATGCTAGTGATACTCAGAAGAGAGATAATCTTGTCCTAGAGTAGTGTTTTTCAACCGGGGGGTCGCAAAGCCTTACACGGGGGTCACGGGTGAAAGAAAAAGACAAAGTGTTTGTAGGTCCTACACTACAATAAAAGAAAACTAGAATTTCAGTGAGAAGGCTGTGCCTGTTTATTTTACAGTACAATTGGTTTTTCGATCGATATTTAAAGAAAGAAAATTAAATACGTAGTTTTTAAAATCACTGATATAGTTTTAATATAGCTCTGGGGGGTCGCCAGAATTTTTTAACTTGTGAAGGGGTCGCGTATTCAAGAAGGTTGAAAAACAGTCTTAGAGGATATATCTGTTACATTACTCTTAATAATTAAGTCATTATCATAAATCGAATATGAACTTATGAATATTCTTACTCTTAGACATTAAAGGAATTCTCACTCCGCAACGAACAACAGCTTTGGCCATTTTTACAGAACAATTAAAATATTTTTATACGGGATCAACACGTGAACAACTTAAACATGCTCGCCAAACAAATGTATCTTAGCGCCCTCTGCTAAAAAAAAAAATAATAATAATTATCAATTTATTAAATTGTGTTAAATTATATTAATAAAGTATTAAATTTTATTTGATAAAAATTAAAATGAATTTCATTTTTTCAGTAAAATTATTTAAATTGATAAATAAAAGCGTCATTTATTAACGAACTTTTTGGTGCTTATTTTGTGCTACTTTCGAATGGCACGAGTTATTTATACAATGTCACGTGACGATAAAGGCGCTTTCTCTCACTGGTCACTGCACAATCCAATGAAAAGTACTCATGCAAAAAAAGAAAAAAAACATATTTTTAAGAAGTTCAACAGATCATTTTACTTACGAATTAAACATTTCCAAGCATGGGTGTATGTAGAAATTTTCCAGGGGGACAAAGCTCGGAGAGAAATAATTGTTTTGGTTTATCATATTTATGTTATTGAATACAGTATTGATTGCATCAAAGCATACAACAGTCCAGGTGTAAGGTTACATATATATGATAATGGTTTGTGGGATTTTTTACACCATCCAGGGAGGGACAAGTGCCCCGTTTGCCTCCCTCTGAGATGCAAATGACATTGCTATAACAGTTATATTGCAAGACATAAGAAGATAAGAAATGACAATTGCTTAAAGTAGTTGGGTTTTGCAAGGAGCAAAAGAAAAAAAAACTACTATTGCTGAAAAAGATTACATAGAAATTAATTAATACGAATAAATCTTAATCCTACAATAACATTGGTTTTTAGAGTCATAAACTTAGTATTTACGGGGGGAACTGTCTGCCAGACATTGTTCATTCGCATTGCTATAATTCAGAGGACAATCAAACAACTTCAAAACAAAAACCGAATTAGTGGGAAGGTTTATAGCAAAGGCGTAATATACGCGAATTTCCAAGCGGAGTGAGAAACAAACAGCCAACGAGGCAGCATTTAAGTCGACTTTGTGCTGGTTTATAATGCGCACCATAATAATGAAAATAAAAAAAAGTCCAAGAAAATAAGCTTTAGAATCAAAAAATAAATACTAACACTTACTTTATTAAAAATTACTTTTTATTCTGTAACATCTCGGTAATTTTAGTACGTTTATTTGAATAAATTTTCCTTTTAGCGAAGTTTTACATTTAACAAATATTCTACCAAATTCGAGGGAAAATAATTTGTTATAAAGTAACTCTCCTTTAAAAAATGCAATTAAAATACTCGGAATATTTCATCTATGACGTAAAACTTGTGACGTAATGCGTGACGCATTGCAACGACAAATTCGAATTCGTTCCATTTCGTATTGTTGCCGACGCCATCTTGGAAATTTTTGCTTTCCGGAAATTGCGAGTTCTTTTTCTTTCCATTTTAACATTTTTCGTACAAATTTTCATAATGAAAACTCGCGTAACGTAAGTAACTTAATATTTTTTGATTAATAATATTAAATAGTTTAAATTAGATACGCTTTAAACTTAGATTTGCGGTTTGTAACCTGTAAGGATACGGAATGCGTTTTTATAATTTTATTTATTATTACAAATATCTTAGCGATATTTTACAAAAAAGGGACTATTTTAGCATTTTAAAGAAAAGATTTGCAATTAGTTAATATTCTGACGTAGAACTTGTGACGTAACGCGTGACGCATTTATCGCACGTTCGATTTCCGACGCCATCTTGAAATAGAAAGTTTTGTGGAAATTGCAAGTTATTTTTCCCTCTGTTTTGAGATTTTTCGAAATACTTGAATTATATAAACCCGAATAACGCATGTAATGTAACGTTTTTTTATTTATAAGCAATCAAAATTGAATAATTGTCGATAGAATATTAAATGTAAAAGTCCTAAATTTTCATTAAAAATATTTAAGGTTGTTTTCACTTAGCATCGAATTAAATCATCAGATTATAAATAATATTCGCTTGTATATCGTCTTATATTGTTTTCAACGAAACAATAAATGTACTGTATTAGCAAATGATTTTAATATTAAGTGAATTAATTAGTTAATGAATCATCTTGATGTTTACTATTCTTAATAATTAAATTCTTAAATTATTCTAGGAAGAAGTATTATTCTCAAATTTTATAATCCAGTTTTTAAAGAGACACGGAATTGTTTTGGAAACTTCTTGTGCTCAAAAAATTAACAAGAAGCAAAAGAAAAGAAAGGTAAGACGTTTTTATTTTTATTCTAATTTGTTATGTATTCTATACACTGATGCAGTGGAAAATTGTATATAAAAGTTTAGAATCCTCATTGATGAATTTAAGAATTTAGAATAATATGTATTACAATTTTACTTAAAAAAATTAATTTATTGTTAAAATAACAGAACTTTACAATTTATGTATTATTTATTTCAATGATAGGTATATTTTAAATTTAAAAAAAACGTGTTTAACACACTGCAAAAACAATCCATTGAAACTTTACACCAATGCACTTGATTGGTTAGGTACCATTGGAAAAACTCCAAATTATCTAAAATTATTAAGTAGCCCTCCCAACTGCCGACAATTATATTTCTGTCTCTATACTAGCTGTTTCTATGCTTGCCTGCTGACAACACATACATCTCTGGCTGTGTGATGGGCTGGTGTAGCTTGCCTGCCTTGTTGGTTGTACCCAGAGAAGATAATGTCCACTTCTTTGTGGGGTTAATGTTGACCAATGTAATCTGCTCCATCATACTATCTGTCCATTTGTTTATCACCTCCTGGAGAGTGAATTCCATCACCTCTACAAGTGTGGCAGGGTTAGGTGACAATATAAAGTGACAGGTCTGGAGGATCAAACCCTCCTGAAGGAAGGGATATCTAAAGATTGCGAGTGATCCAGACTTAGGATCTGTGGTCTCCCACTGGAAACAAAATGAAACGAACCCCAAACCTTGAAAAGCACCACAAGGACTTCTTCAAACTCTCTGTATGTGCTCCAAGAGGAGTACTTTCAAGTCTTTTAAACAGGTTAATGCAGTGTCTCTGAAAACTCAACTTTATAATGATGATCATTTCCTGATAACTCCACTAGCTCTATTTGATACTTCCTCTAACAATTTAAGGAAATGCTGTGCAGAAGCTGAATGCTGACCCCGAGAATAGTAGTAATGGGGCAATATACTCTGCCAGTGCCAGTTGAAGAGCGTAGCCAATCATCACTGAAAAAGTCATAAATAGTTTATTTTTTTCTGGAATTAGTACTTTCTGAAGTTGACTTTGGTTAATCAATTTTTGAATAACCAACTGTACTGTATAGTGAAAAAAATTTGAATTCCTAGTTGGTTGCCCATATGACTAATGCTTTAAGAATTCTTGACATAAGAAAGTTCAGTGTAACAAAGCTTTCAATAATCGAAAATAGTTTTCTGGACATTATGCTGAAATTCTCTGGTATAGAGAAAAACTATGATGGAATGGGAGAATTGAATGACAGGAGTTGGGAAGTGTCAAGGATGTCCACCCAAAAGAAACTGCCTGAACACAGTCAATTCAAGGAACTGACTTTAGAATTGTTTTGAATGGGTTGATGGGATAGTTGGTTACATACTACATATTCAGAATGTTCTGGAAAGACCCCAAAAAACAAATGTTGAAAGACCTATAAAAATTCCTGTGATCAATACTAGCTACAGATCTTTTTGAAGGAAACTGCCAAATAGGAAGATAACAGAAATGATAATGGGAAGTTACATGAAGGAAGAGGAAAGCAGAGTGTCTCAGTTCAATGCATCCTTACCATACTGTAGTTATGGTTCTTCAGTAATTCAAAGTAATGTCATCTGACAAAAACACTGAAGGGAAAAAACATCAATTTTCATTGTCTGAAGAAGCTACCATCCCAGAAGCAGTTGATTTCAGCTCAGAAAAAGACATTGCAAAGGAGTATGGAGGAGTCTCCTAGTCTGTCAATGATTTTAAAAGTTCATTCCAAGATTGAAAGGAAATTCAAAATCCAACCTTGGTTCCAAATGGGAAGAAATTGTGTGGCACACAGTACAGTGATATGGAGAAAGTTGTTTTCATCTAGTTTCTAGATGTTCAAGAACAATAGTCCCACAAATAGAACCTTTCTTTAAAAGAGTGTTTCAGAGTTTGTGAAAATGCTTAGAGCAGAAGACTTTCAGGAAGGTAATGGGTAGATCTTTAGATTTCATAAGAGTGTGAAATCCTCAAAAAGTATCTTCAGGAAAAACAATGATGTTTGTTGAACATAGCTTGTCATGACTTATAGTTGAGATACAATTGTATGGTGCAGATGACATTTTCAACCTTCAAACAGGCATTTTCTTTCAACTATTGCTGCATCAAACTATAGCTGTTAAGAGTGACTATAAAGAAAGCAAAAATAATGTCCACTGCACATGGCATACAACGAGATCCTTATTTATTGATTGCTGGAGTGTGAGCATTTGCCAAACTGTCAACAGTCCAGAAATGATAGAATAAAAGTGGCATGATTTCACATGACCTGAATGAGGAAGGAATTTAAGCAGAATCAGGGATTCAGGCAGTACAGATGTTGCTGTGACTGGCATTCATTGAAGCATTCACTTTGTGGGAGTGAACAAGAATTTGTTTGTATCGTTACTTTCTGACTCAACAATAAGTTCTATATGATTGAGATAGAGTATATAGTGATTAAGAGTAGCTAGCATGCAAACAAGTAATATTTCTTCTAGCTTCTAGCTAAATTTGAAACATTGATTAAACTCAGTTTACAGCTAAGAATTACAAAATGCAATCATATAAGAGAGTAAATTTTGAAACAGTTTATTAAAGACTTTAATAATGCAATAATACAAACTATACCAGTCAAGACAAAAAAAATCATATCACATATAACAAATACAATCAGTTAATTCCAAAATATTCTTAGTATAGAGTTATCCTTTGCATAAATTCTGAGAGCAATAAAATATATTTACCTACTTTTAATTATCTTTTGTAATTAAGTTACTGTTTACGTATTATTATTGATATAATGTTAATGATTATAATTATAAAGCTGTGTGTGGGTTCACACACACACACATAGTTTTGGTATTGTGTTTATTGGAATTAGATTTTTTGAACCTTAAAATTGGATAGTGTAATGGCAAATTCTGCTAATAATCCTAAAATCCTAAATAATCCTATTTTTTGCATTTACAAAGATCCATAAATCAGGCAACACTATAAGACCCATAATGCCATGTTGTGTACTCTCCTATTAGAAAATGCTATTCATAATCTATTTAAAGATTATTTAAAAACCTATAGATTATCCATCAGTAAAACAGAGCAAATAATTGATGATTTGTGGTAGTCAACTTATAGGAGATGTTTATATTACAGTCTTAGACTTTATACTGTACCTGTGTGCCACTTAATACAAATTACAAGAAATTTTTTCCCTTTTAGACATTTATTATATAAAAGCAATAAGCAAGTCAATTGCAAATTTATCCTGGATTTAAGCACATGTTTCATGCTATTCCTTTTTTTTTACTATGATTACAAGACATATGTTCAAAAGAGAGGGGCACCTGTGGATAGCCTCTTGTCTGGGGTCCTTTGTCAGATATAATATTATTCGAAAAGTGATTTTATCAACTCTCCTATGTATGCTTATGTGCAAAAGATATGTGGAAGATATCTTTATTATATGGAAAACAAAACCAGATATAAATGGCTTCATACAACAAATGAATGACAATTTTTATGGACGATATTAAATTAGACCATGCCAGCAACTAAATGGTACATTTTTTTGGATCTTAAAATCAGCAATAGAAATGAAAATATCCACCCAAATTTATATTACAAACCATCACACCCACCATTATTTATATCTGTAAGCTCCAATAACCCCGGATGTATACAAAATAGCTGCTTTTAGAGCCCTGACAAAAAGACCCTTTACCCATTGTACAGATTTCACTGAAATGGCAAATGACTATAACAGTTTGAATATATTGCTATAAAACAGGTTACTATAGAAACCTAATCCACAATTTGGCTCAAATGTACTCTAGTGGTAGTGTTCAAGGCTCATATGCTAACAATGGGATAAGAGATAAAACTATAAGAACCTAAACAATATACTCTGTATCTGACTTTATTACATGTAGACCTATTCTGGCCAAAAATATGTATACAAACTATATTCTTACTTCATTTTTATGCCTTAATTAAACTGAAGTGTTTATTGAATAGTCATAGTTAATAAAATAAAACTGCACATCACTTCATTATTTGATTTGACTATTTCCATTCCAGGATTTTACAACTATTTTTAAATATCCAATCTAAATATATAAAATTGCTTGTCCTGACTGACTCACTCATTCATTCACTGATTCATCATCGCCCAGAGCAAACCGCTTAACCTAAAGAGGTGAAATTTGGTACACAGTTAGGGTACGTCATGGAAACGCACACTAAGAAAGGATTTTTCGAAATTCCAACGCGGGGGGTGAGGGGGANGAAATAAAAATCATATAGAATCTGGGTATGTAATATACAATGCATCTCTAAACTAATCAGGAGTTGTGGATTTGAGTCCCATTCAGGACAATTATTTCCTTTGGGATAGACAATGGACCATGTCCTTTCAGAATATTCTAAATTTAACATTAATTTAATTCTAATTAAATTTATTAGGAGAGCAGCTAAAGCACCTATCTCTAGCCAAATTGATTTGTTATGTAATTAGTTATTAGGCTCAACATAGCCAAATAGATAATCTGACATATCATTTGGTAATAGGAATGTGCTGGGTTGTTGTTTATTATGTAAATTAAACAATCAATCCACAAGAAGGAAGTGCAGCTACCCATTCTTTCACAGTTAAGAAAATATTGTGGCAATATAAGTTAAAACTTTCAGTTGTGTGAAATATGTTGTAAATTCCCGATCTTACAATGGGAAACGCATTTGTTTCTAATCAAACCCCAACCACTTGTAATGAAATCTGAGTAAATTTTCTTTTTAGCGAAGTTTTACATTTAACAAATATTCTGCCAAATCCGAGGGAAAATAATTTCTTAAGAAGTAACTTTCCTTTAAAAAATGCAATTAAAATACAGTACTCGAAATTTTACATCTATGACGTAAAACTCGTGACGTAATGCGTGACGCATTGCAACGACAAATTCGAATTCGTTCCATTTCGTATTGTTGCCGACGCCATCTTGGAAATTTTTGCTTTCCGGAAATTGCGAGTTCTTTTTCTTTCCATTTTAACATTTTTCGTACAAATTTTCATAACGAAAACTCGCGTAACGTAAGTAACATAATATTTTTCGATTAATAATATTAAATAGTTTAATTAGATACGCTTTAAACTTAGATTTGCAGTTTGTAACCTGTAAGGATACGGAACGCGTTTTTATAATTTTATTTATTATTACAAGTATCTTAGCGATATTTTACAAAAAGGGACTATTTTAGCATTTTAAAGAAAAGATTTGCAATTAGTTAATATTCTGACGTAGAACTTGTGACGTAACGCGTGACGCATTTATCGCACGTTCGATTTCCGACGCCATCTTGAAATAGAAAGTTTTTTGGAAATTGCAAGTTATTTTTCCCTCTGTTTTGAGATTTTTCGAAATACTTGAATTATATAAAACCGAATAACGCATGTAATGTAACGTTTTTTTTATTTATAAGCAATCAAAATTGAATAATTGTCGATAGAATATTAAATGTAAAAGTCCTAAATTTTCATTAAAAATATTTAAGGTTGTTTTCACTTAGCATCGAATTAAATCATCAGATTATAAATAATATTCGCTTGTATATCGTCTTATATTGTTTTCAACGAAACAATAAATGTACTGTATTAGCAAATGATTTTAATATTAAGTGAATTAATTAGTTAATGAATCATCTTGATGTTTACTATTCTTAATAATTAAATTCTTAAATTATTCTAGGAAGAAGTATTATTCTCAAATTTTATAATCCAGTTTTTAAAGAGACACGGAATTGTTTTGGAAACTTCTTGTGCTCAAAAAATTAACAAGAAGCAAAAGAAAAGAAAGGTAAGACGTTTTTATTTTTATTTTAATAGCATAGCATATTCAAATCAGATGAGAATAAGATTTTTTTCCATGTCTTATAAAAGTCTGGAAAAATATTTGGAATAAATTATTCCTTCAAATTATATTTATTTCATATTAAGATAAATTATAAACATTTAAGAAAAACATTAGCAAAGAGTTTAAATCATAATACAGTAGAACCTCGAAAACTCGGCTCTCGATAACCCGGCACTCCGGAAAACTCGGCCACACCCTGGCAGAGCAAAAAAATCCTTAGTTAATTAATTTTCATATAGACAGCTTTATAAAAGTATAAAAGCTCTCATAAAGTATTTTTCTGAGGTCTGTCTTATCAGGTAAATTACTGTACACAGTGTATTCATTAATTTTCATTTTCATGTAGTAAAGGCTCTATGCCTTCATAAAGGACGTACTTTTCCTTTGT